ACAGAGGTTTGCCCGGCATGCGTCTCTTCTTCTGTTTTATGCCACCTTTAGTCCTCGTTCTCCCAATGATGAAGACATGCAGAAAACACATCAGCGCCTTGTCGACGACCTACGATTCATCCCTCGTGCTCTTTCCCTATTAACGTATCCCACACAAACATCGGCACCCCTCACGTTGTCACTCATTCGCAATGTCCACAATCTACTCGCGTCGTTTGAAGGAACCATCAAGGTCGTCCAACAGACGGGATTTCCGTACGACAGCACCACCGCACAGGCACCCTGGAATCCCAAACCCGACGAGAATACCAATGGACTCATTACGTATCCCTCTATTTTTCGAGATGTCCTCATTTGGGCGCTCAATGCGCCGCATTTGCCGCCGTTTCCAGGATCCCCACAAGACAAGCGTCCCGAATTGGTCGTCGAAATATTGGGCATTATTTTTGCCATGGGAGGAACCGAAGTCTCACGAGCACTCCGTATCCGTGTCCCAATGCCGCATTGTCACAATTGGTCGTGACGTCCCTGAAATCATTGTCATCGGATGACGACAAACGGGTTTATCAAGTCAAACTATCGACCATTACCATTTTAACAGATGCCAGTCCATCGTTTGGCACTTTTTTGGTCGAACAAGAAGCATTACCAGCATTGCTCGAAATTGCCCAACGACAAATGGATACCGTCATTGATAATATACAAGTCAATGACAAGGCCGTTTCGGCATTGGTGCCCAGTTTGGCGGTATTGTACAAATTCTCGGCTGGTAATCCGACCTTTCGGGATGCCACCAAAGAACTCGTCTTTCCGCCCGCTCAAGAAGAAGAGTTTTGGAAATTGTCCAAGGAACAACTACTACTCAATAATCAACATCAAGATGCGGCGACGGATGATAATAACGACAACAATAACAATAACAATAAACAAGTACCGGCCAAGAATAATAATATGCAACCGTTGGATGCACCGCGTGGCACGTTGCGATGGAAATTGATTCATCTCATGACATGGACCGAATCGCATATCAAACGATATGCCAGTGAATTGTTGTGGGCACTCTGCGAGGAAAATCCTAAAGAATTTGTTCTACGAACTGGAATGGGCAATGCCATTGGCTTTTTAGGGGCCAAGGGAATGGTACAGATTCCTAATAATAATTAGATTAATTAATTAATTATCTATAATAAAATAACTAATAACTAACTAGCTATTAATTAATAACTAACTAACTAAGTAAATACTAGCTATTATTAGCTAGGACACAAGAGTAGCTACCGATAGGGATATTGTGTTTAGTTAGTGGACAATATAGATAGATCCTGATGTCGCCTGTTCTGTTTCCTGTTTCCGTCCATCTTTCACACTACTCTGTTCTACTGTACTCTCTAAACCACCCTCAAAGACAGATTCGATTCTGCAATCATTGGAGCGTCTGGAGCTGCTACCGGGCTAGTAGAGTACGGTAGCTAATGTAGTATCTAAATAGAAGGTGATACCCTTTACTAGTATCTGCTACCTGCCAGAATCGAATCTTAATTTTTGACTGCATATCTAAATAGAAGGTGAAGCATGTGGCAAGCTCCCAATCGTGATTTGCCACACGTCTGAGCCCGTGCCTAAGCTGGTTAATGCAAGCTTCGCAGCAATCTTTTTGGATCTGGACCCTGGACCGCTTTTTGAGCCATCAACCGTGTCAATCGAGAACAGTGCACGATAAAGGACCTCATTTTCCATTCATTCGATATCCTCTGTTATCACACAGACAAAGAAACCACCACCAAAATGAGCCAAGACGACGATTCCTTCTCCGAGGATCTTCTCTCAACAACGCCGTGGCTATTGTCGTCATGATCTTCCTCGATATTATTTGCATTGTGTTCAATCAAGAACAGAATCATGGTGAGCATGGACAAGGACTGGAAGGGAGCACTCGACATGGGATAGACCAACGGGTACTTTTGTAGAAACCGTTGGAGATACCACCTCAGAAACACACTGATCGTTCGAACCACACATTCCAGCCAGGCCCAACTAGTGACATCCACAATGACAATACTAATGTCTGCACTAGTATTGCCGTCTTTCTCAGTACTAGTACTGATCAAGGCTAAGTGGTCACAGACCGTCTCTTCAGTACTTTCAGTACCAAGAGACTTGGCCAAGGCGAGGACAAACGCATCTCGCAGTTTCCGGGTCACGTCATCAATCTCGGCTTTGGCTTCGTCTGCCGATACTTCTATCTCCTCTTTGTCTGAGTCCTCCTTGTCTCCTGATGTGACTTTGTCTTCATCAGGATCCGCAAAAAGCACCTTTTCCAACTCTGCGTTCCACTCTTCCAACGAAGCCTTACACGTACTACTAGTATTAATAGTAGAAGCCTCTTCGGACGCCAATATCTCAGACAGCTGTCGTACACACTTCATCATCATCGTCATGTAGTCAAATATAGAGCTCGGGAAGATCCAAAGGAAGAGTTTGTGGCTGTTAAAGATCTTCCACAGAAAGATCCAAAGATCTGCAAAAGATTGAGCCTCAACCCATTTCAAAATAATAGCTTTGCAGGCTAATAGTCAATCCACGGTCCCCCGTCGTGCGCTTTTGCGTGGACGAAGCAGCTCTGCAACCGCCCGTTCCAGCCTACAGTACCAGCACAGTTCAACCCCTCCGAGTAAACGAAAGCCATAGCTAGCTAGCTTCACTATAGCTAGCACCTAGCTGTCTAGCGAGTACATGTAGGAGGTACGGTACAGTGCAGTACTGTGGAGGATCTGGTCCTTCCAGTGCAAGCAAGATGCATGCATGACAAAATCAGTTGATTGATTAGCTGCTTCAAGTTGGGAAATACCGGTATACTGAGAGGTGTGCGTGGGTTTGCAGGCTAATCGATAGACCGCTTTTGCATCCAGGCTCCGAATTCTCATGATCACATTCGAAGTCCTTGCTGGGGATGATCAGGGTGCCCTCGACCTCTACCGCTCTGTTTACTCCCTGTCCTCCCTTGATGTGCCTGCCGCCCCCTTCTGTTGGCCTCCTAGCTAGTTGGTTTTCATTCCCTGCCACTCGACGACGGTACGGTGCCGTGACGAAGAAACGAGCAGGCGGAGGAGGATTAGACAGGAAGAGACATTTTATCAGATTCTATCCACTACTGCACTACCAACCTGCACCAGATGCAGCACCAGCTGCAAAGGTAGTGGTCATGTTTTGTTGAGTGAAGCCAAGCTGTCAACAAGGAGCAAAGAACGCACAAGGCCAAGCATGAGACAAAGAAGGCCAAGTAACAACACACTAGCTAGCTAGTCTTGATACTGTAGGTAGCTATAGTTAGTTAGAACATGTAGTAATATAGGATGATTGCAACAGCCGTAAAGACCATGATCCATTTCTTGAGTGCCTTCTTTTCCTCCGCCTTTCTGCATTTTTCCGACATGCCTGCATCCACATTGGGAACCAGCATTTTATAGAAAATGTACCTGTTGGACAACAATCGAATATGAAAGGAAGCAAAATAAGCAATATGTTAGGCATGATGATCATTGAATTGAATCTGTCCACCAAGATTGTCATCTAAGCTATACGGTTGTGACAGTATGTATGTAGCACTCACTCATCTTTGAATTCATGTTGTCCCGTGACATGCTGAAACAATTCGTATTTTTCTGCCAATTGTCGTGCCAGTTGCACGGCTTGTTGCCGCGAGTGGGCAAATTTGTACTGGACGAGAAAATCGACGGCTTCGGTGCCCACAAAACACTGCGGGTACGTGACCAATCGATAGGTCCGATCGGCCACTTGGATACCGCGTTGAAATGCCCGCATCACTTCCAACAGTGTGAATTGACGGGAGGAACAGAAATCGGTAAACCGATAATAGAGATGCGCATCTTGGATTTGATCGTTGTGATCGTGTGTGACGTGTTCGCAAATGTGCAAAATGGCATTCATTTCCTTGACGACTCGGAGAGCATCACGTCGTGAATGCAATTGAAGAAAATCGACGAGAAAGTCAATGGCTTGACTTCCCACAAAACAATCGTGAAATGTTTTCAAATGGTACTTGCGATCCTTCACGGGAACATTCTGCACCATGGCACGGGCTGTCTGATACAGCACTTCATCACTCAGCAAATCTTGACCGTGATGCCAAAAGTGCGGCCGTTGCTTTCTTTGGGCGGCTTGTGTCAGCGCAATGGAAGCTGAAAACTTGGGAGGTGGTCGACGGGTACCACCGGTAGTAGAATGATGATGATGATCATGATGGTCTGTGCTGTCGTTGTGGCAGTTGTTGTGGAGGTTGTTGTGTGGTCTTCTCTGTGTAGTACCAGTAGTAGGGCTACTAGTACTGGTACTAGTAGTTCCACTGGATTCGGTATGGGCTGCCATCTTCATGAGCTTATTACTGGTAGGGCACGTCGATCGATCTGATCGAGTTCTCTCTTTTTATTTTGTGTGCGTGCTTTTCTGCTGCATGGATGATGGTGTGAGAGGAGATGGATTGACGTCAGGGGAAAATCCAATCGAGAATTCAATCGATCAATCCATCTCGAGCAGATTTCGAACCGAATTCAACACCCCGACGAACATAATCGAACAAAACTGAAAAAGAGCTCTTCAAGTGTGAACAAACATGTTCCATCGAGGGAGCACGAGCATTAATTCATATTGGATCGAAGAGGAGCCTGGAAGAATACAGCACAAGCTGATGAAGCATAATATCATACATAGCTCTAGCAAGAGCTAAAAAACATTGCTATTTTCCCCTATTCCATCCTCCAGATGGCGTATATTGTCTTTCAAAGTTTTCGTCTCAAAGCTCAAAGGAAGCACTGTGACTACTAGCTACGTAGTAGCCAGTAAAGTTGCAGTGAATTCCTCGCGGCCAGGGCTACCGGTAGAGGGTACATCGTATTGTTTCGTCCTCTGAGGGCTGTTTTGCGTTTTGCATTCTTTGGTTTGAATGCGTTCGGCTTCGCTAGTAGAGTGCTGCGACTGATGCTCCTGCTGCTCCCTTGTGGAAAGAAGAACTCGGAAAGAAGAACTTGGCGGAGCCATTGTTTGCAGCAGGTATTCGCAGTCAGCAGTCGTATCTTTTGGCAACCGATGGTAAAGCTTTGGCAACTGTTGGAGCTCTCTTCGAACTTCGAAGTGACTAGATAGAGCTCTAGCCAGCTAGCTAGAGCTCTAGCTCTACTAGATAGCTTCCCACGGCCACTGTTAATGACATTGTGTCCAAACTGGATTGCTGGCTAGATCCACCATGTATGTTCTAACAGCAGTTTTGCACTTACTTAATCACACTTGTTTGAGGTTTGAGGAGCTGAAACCTGAAAGGTGACCAAAGAAAACGTAAATTTCCCTGCTTTTCATCGTCCAAAGCTGCACTCAGTGTCCAAGCCACGGTTGCCACAACAGCTGGCACAACACTCCTTTAATTCGTTTGTTATTCACTTCGCGTTCATTGGTTCTCAAGATGCTCCAGGATTTAACTGCATGGCGTCCAGTCGTTCAGTCTGTTGGTTGCTTTTCCAAAATTGCCAAACAAACAAAACAATGAGTGGGCGAAGCGACCACATCGAAATCGCAACTGTGGACGAGGCCAGCAAAGTCAGGAGGCAATAGGCCAGCTTGAGGAGGGCTCCTCATAAAGTGCTCTTCGTCTTTACAAAACGCCGCACAACTTACCAGTATCCAACCCATTTTACCCGGCAGCTCTTCAAGATGCAGAGCTCCACATCTGCCAATGGTAAGACCTTGCCTACTAGTGAAGGCGATGCCGAAATTGCAGTGAAACCAACAGAAGGATCCACGAAAACGATCGGCACGGATTCTACCAACACCGATGAAGAAGATGCAGGTAGTGGATCCCTGGCGGAGAAAGATGTTGGGATCAACGGAGCTCCGCCACCACCACCGCCCGTTCATCAGGGTACGATAACGACTGTTCAGCAGTTTATCAATACGGTGCGAGATTCCACCCAAGGGTTGCCACTACAACCTTCCGTTCTCACAAGACCAGAATATGATAATCCTGGTGCCTATGCCGTTGGACCGCTTGGCATATCCATTGTTCGTCACTCCGTGGCCCAGACCCCTCCAACAGAAATAGGAAGAGTCCAAGCGCAAGTTGATATAGAGGGGCAACAACAACAACAAGAATCCAGAACATCAGTTGCCCACGATTCTACTAGTAACGACCAACACCTTGCTGTGGCAAACCTCGTCCAACAGGATAACGTTCAAGATAGCATTCCAAGGGCAACCGAGTTTCACCAACAAGAAAGGCAGATGAAGCACTCTGACAAAGAAATGAACAGAAAGATTTTGTCGTGCATGGCCCTTTGCGTGCTGGTAGGTGGAGTTATCGGGCTGCCTTTGTTGATTCTGGTGTCAAACAGAAAGAAGGATGTGCCCTCAGGCAGCAGTCTTTCCACAAGCAGTCCATCGGCCAGTCCATCGGCCAGTCCATCGGCCAGTCCATCGGCCAGCCCATCTGCTGCACCAACTACGAAAGAGGATGGTGTCTTGAGTCTCTTGCCAGATTTCACTATTCGGGCATTGGACGATCCCATGTCGCCCCAGTATCAGGCATATGAGTGGTTGCTGGAAGATCCGGCTTTGTCAAGCTACACGGATGCCAGAATCCTGCAAAGGTTTGCTCTTGCAACTTTCTACCATTCACTGGGTGGTCCCAACTGGGTCTTCCATGAGAATTGGCTCAACCACAGTGAGCACGAGTGCAACTGGTTTTCTCAATACTGGTTCTGGCTCTATGATGCCACGGCTGGAGAAGAACGACCACAAGCATTGAACTTTTCGGATCCCTATGCTCCCTGTGGTTACACCACCCAGAATGACGAATCAAGCATGGAATACAGGAACCTCCTGTTAGGGGAAAACAATCTCAGTGGAGAAATTCCTTTGGAAATCTCGTTTCTGACATCCCTTTCCTTCCTTGGCATCCAAGTGAACAACATACATGGAACTGTGCCAAGTCACATTGGTGAACTAACCAACCTGGAATACTTCAAGTTGGCTATCAATCATCTGGAAGGGGTAAGCTCTAGTTCCTTCCTTCCAATAGAAGGCTGTGAACTCTACCCATTTGTTGTGCTGGCGCTCACTCAATCTTTTCAATCATTTAGACACTACCAACAGAGCTTGGCTTGTTGACAAGGTTGATTCACTTTCCGGCTCTCTACAACTCCTTCAGTGGTATGATTCCATCTGAGCTAGGACAAGCTGGTAACCTCACCAAGCTCTTTCTGGACAACAACCTTCTATCTGGGGTGAGCTTCATTGATGCTTGGCACTACTGTTCAAGTCATGAAATTTATGATTGTCTCTGACATCTTCCCTTTGTTCTGATACTCCAGAATTTGCCATCAGAGATCGGCTTGTTGGCCAACGTAGAGTATCCTTATTTCTACAACAATGTTCTCAGTGGAGTAAGTACAGTATTTTGAAAGTTGCTTGTTCTCCATGAAGACTGAGGATCCTCACCTTTTGCCCCCCTCTACTAGACTCTACCAACAGAGTTGGGGCTGCTGTCCAATGCAAACCACATGTCTCTTGATGGTAACCAATTTACTGGCAGTCTGCCTTCTGAGTTTGGAAAGTTGTCCATAGCTGAACACATTGTGGTGAAGAACAACATGATCACAGGAAAAATTCCTACAGAGCTGGGACTCTTGCATGGTGCACCATCCTACTACATTCATCTAGGAAACAATCTCATCACAGGACAGATCCCCTCTGGTAAGCAGGTCTCTTGTGTACCCGGTTCTGGGATATTCTTGCTCTCATTTTCATGATTGATTTTTGTCTATTGTGATAGAGCTTGGGCAGGTTTCAAAAATGTCAAGCCTGCAACTTGCTGGCAATCAGCTTTCTGGAATGATGCCAACTGAGCTTGGATTGTTTGGTCCTACCTTTCGCTTCCTCAATCTTGCAAACAATTCATTGACTGGGCAGATTCCAAGTGAGCTGGCTCGGCTCAGCAACCTGACGCTCTTGAGCTTGGAACATAATTTTCTCAGTGGACAAGTGTCAGGTGATCTGAGTGAACTGGTTGGGAATGGTTCATTGATCTCTATAAATATTGTTGGCAATCCACTCCTGACTGGGGCTATTCCAGAAGACATGTGTGATGCTGGCATTGACACTGCAAATTTCACTTGTCCTGATTGGGCAGAATGTGGGGTTATCTTTGACTGTTCCATCAGCCTATGCGGTTGTGAGTGCCCATGTCCACAGTGAAGTGAAGGCTGGACTGCTGTTGCACAAATGAGCTGGAAAGAACTGAGCAGCCATGCCATGCACACCAGTGATAGTGAGAAATCCCAGCATTTCCATAACTTCCATACTCTAAAACTCCCCTACTTCTTTTCCATTACTAGTCCCAAATGCACTGGAGGATGAGAAGAGATCGTTTTCATTACGAGTCACTTGGCTTATGCCGCTGATACCGGCATCCCATACAGTAGAGAAAGTCTAAGCTCTATGATGTTGGAATAGAATCACTACCATGGATGGCTGGGTTGGGAGCGAATAGCGGCTATGCGGAAAGTTCGTTCGCATTTCCCACGCGTTTATCCCAAAGGCAGGTGTAACTGCCAGAAGGAAGCAACGGACCCTTACATCAAGGTTGGGTCGAGCGGAATGTACATGTTTACAGATATACCAGCTGCGTGGTTGCACCCCCACCCGACTCGGAATATTAGCCTCCTGCATAGATGATTGCTAGCTAGCAAGAACGCTTCCTAGGTGGCTAGTGGCTGGGGGTAACTGTACCGGTATCGGTAGATCACCCTGCAATCAAGCACAAGGCCGCAGAGCGACTGATCAATCCGCATCCACGGTCGAATGCCACTACCAGCGAGACGTGGAATACCTCGGCAGTCTTGCTGCCAGAGCCCTCAACCCCTTTACCTCGGCAGTCTTGCTGCCAGAGCCCTCAACCCCTTTAATTGTTTTTCCTGCTACGGTGGTCCCTGTAGGTATAAGGGTAGGGTTAGAATACAAATAAGTCAGCAAAAACTAAATAAGTAGCCTAGGGTGGTGCTTTTAAACCAGCTAAAGCTATTTACATGCATCCTAGTAGGGGGATCTGCTTCTACCAGGAAAAACTATAAAGCTAGCAAAAGCTATATAACTAGTATTCTACCTAGCTTGGGGTATCTGCTTCTAGCTTGCGATGAGAATCTGCTTCTAGCTAGGGGGGATCTGCTTCTAGCTAGCTAAGCGCAAGTTAAGCACTAGCTAGCTAAGCACTACAGGTATCTGCTTCTAGCTAGCTAGCTAATAGGGGTATCTGCTTCTACACTGAAACCTTTCTGCCGAGGTTACACAGCTCCGCTGGCTTAATTGGGCGGAGAGCTCTTTGATGGCTCGAGCCCTCGCTCTTTTAAAAAGTAACTCGTTTTATAAAAAGTACCATGCATTCTATTTTTACAATTTTAAATCAACCGTTTCATTTAAATTGAGTCCCGCAAAAGCGACGCAGCGACGTCGCTGCGACGTCGCTGCGTCACTGCGTCGCGACGCTGCGTCGCTTTTGTGGGACTCAATTTGGATGCAAAAACATTATTTTTAAAAGTTAGGCTCTTCGAAATAAGTCAGCGGGAGCTGCGATACCTCGGCAGAAAGACAGATAGAAGAAGGAGGATCATGTTCGAGATTGCACCCATCTTTCAAGCCAGCCCTGGCGACAACACCCGACTACGTCATGTGTTGCCGCCCGGTATCATTCATTCCCTCATTGCAACCTTCTTTATCAAGCTAGCCCTGGCGACAACACCCGACTACGTCGTGTGTTGCCGCCCGCTACTCTATAATTTACCAGCTGCCATTCCCTTATTGTAACTCTAACCTTTACAGCTCCTGCTGGCTTATTGTGCTGTTGTGCTGATTGCACTAACCTTAAATTTTAATGATTTATTTCTTCCCCTAACTTGTATTGAACCATCAATGTTCAGTTTTGTTGGCTTATCATGTCATTTTGTGCTATTACTACCATCCTTTACGGCTCAACCGAATAGAAATAGAAATAGAAAAAAGAAATAAAATAGCATTAAGTCAGCGGAGCTTGCGATACCCCTCAAAACAGATAGAAGAAGGATATGTTCGATGCACCCATCTTTCAAGCCAGCTCTGGCGACAACACCCGACACGTCGTGTGTTGCCTCCCGGTATCACTTCATTCCTCATTCAACCTTCTTTTATTCAGCTAGCCCTGGTGACACACCCGACAAACACCCAGGCTACTCTAAATTACACGCCAAACCCAAACCACAGCTCCGCTGCCTATTGCGATTAAGCAAACAACCAAATATTAAATATATTCCTACCCAAACGTATATAACCATCAAATGTTCTAGTTTGTTGCTATGACACTCTATCCTTATACTGGGCCCACCGTAATAGAAATAGAAATAGATAAGAAATAGAAAAAATAGGAAAATAGCATAAGGGAGAACTCAGGCAGTTTACCTGCCGAGGTTATACTTCTCGAATCTCGTCCCCAAAATCACTCTAAGTGGCAGCCTGTTCCAAGCAGACCGATTCCCAACAGGACCAAGCCGAGTTGTGTTCGACATCAGATAGTGGTTGCCGAGAGTCGTGCCCTTGGCTACGGCCACGAGCAGCCTCCTCCGTTTAGAGTCCCTAAAGGAGGACGATGGGGTACAAATACGGAACGCAAACAAATGGTGCCACAGCAAGCAGGTAGGTGTGCTCTGGTGTGCTGTCTGTGCGGCCTGACCTGTACCGTGTGTTGTGTTGGCTTTAACAAACGCCGTGCGTATACTATGCCTCCTGAGCGATCGGACCGTTTACGATCCCAGTGTCTACAATAATAGGCACGAGACAATAGTATTTCCAAGAGGAAGAGTTTACGGAAAACATGGACGAAACCAAGAGACGGTTGGCCGCGCCGTGTGCGTTTGTGGTGGCTCGGATGTTTTCGGGGTCAAATACGAGGCCCTGATGAATTGTGGACCTTCTGTGTGTGTTGACGAACGAATGGTGGTGTCAGGGCATAACTTCAGAAACTATAGGTAACAATATTATATCCTAACCATCATGATAAACGCAATAATGAATGTGTCTGCATGCATGAAAGGCCTCCAGTCCAAGCGCTATCAAACCCCAAGGGAAATCCTTCTTGGGGTTGTCATTCGCGGTCGGATCAGAACGATCAAGCCTTGCATGATTTCGACTCCCTAATTAATTTCTGGCGAGTCTGGAGAATACACCGAGAGGTTTTTCTCCTTGGACAAACTTGGGAAGGGGTGCATCTGCTTCGCTCTTGTATACGACGCAGATGCTGTTGATTCATTGTCGTTCTTTTCCATTGCCGTGATGAAATACATGACCTAAATGACTACCGCAATTGTTGCAACAAACTTCTCTCTCGATGCCCCTCACTCCAATGTGAGCCTTTTCTTCTCCGTCGCTGTTCGAGGAATAGTACGACTTGGAATAGGCGTCCCATCCCGTGTCGTGGAATTTCGAAGCGGCCGAATAGAGAGGAAAGTCGCACGCCTTGCAGCAAAAATATCCATTTTTGGGAAAGAACTTACAAAACTCACCCTTCCCGTACGCTTCCGTGCCGCCTTGACGAAGCACGTAAAACTCCTCCTTGGTCAATTGCTCGCGCCATTCTTCGTCTGTCTTTTGGAACGGATACTTGGATGTGTCTTTCATTATGCGTTTCGATGCAGGAGGACCCAACCAACGAAACATGAAACTCTCACGACTGTTGCTACCCTGTACACTGCAGGGAAAGCCCGTCAAGAGCAGTGTTAGACTACTATTACAATGAGCTCCAGCAGCCGGGAAGCATCTGCCATTGTGCTAGAAAGAAACAAGTCGCGGGAGCTGTCGCTATTTTTTTGCTCCACAGGATTGATGCCTTCTGTACCGCTACAGTACCGGTACTAGCTGGTAGATATATACTGAGTACCCATTATGCATGCTCCTTAATTAATTGTTGCCTTGTCCATGGTGACACACTTTGCGTAAGTCTTGCCGCAAATGTCCTCCGGACCAATTTTGACCTCTGGGGACCAATTTTGGAATCTGGGGACACATTTTGGAATCTGGGGACCAACTCTGGAACGGCTTTAAAACCTGCCACGACTGACTCAAAATACCGATCACTGGGAACGTACATTTAAACATGTGGGTTGATGAAGCTTTAACGGCTTGCCAGTACTCTAAACCCACGTTATGACTGCATGACTGACACCTGAAACCCAAGTCTAAAATCTTGAAGCTATTAATACTCGAGATGTTTCTGCCTCTCTCAATGCCTTGACAGCCTTGCAGGCATGGAAGAATGAGAAAGCAGACCCTTTTGGTCCACGTGCACGTTTCAAAACTTCCAGAGGTGCCATGCACCCATCGACCGCCAATGCTGCCAAAGGGTGAGAAAGGAAGCAGTTTGTTCGTTGTCTGTCGTCCTCTCTGCCACAAAAGAGCCACACGAGACTGAAACGTGTTTTGCCCATGTCTGTTCCAGAATGCGAAATGACGCCCCTGGCGTTTCCACCGCGAAAGCTTGTCCAGATGGCTGGCTTGTCAGACTATCGCACCTGCTGGATGGAAAGCTCTCTGGATGCATTTCTCGATTCTTCCACGGACGAGATGCTGCGCCAATTTACGCTGGCGTGTCAGTCTCAGTCCTTTGCCGAGCGATGTGCTTTCTTGGGATACCCCGAAGTCATTTTCCATCCCAATCATTACTGGAAAAGGAATGCAATGCGGCGTGGGAGTGGATTCCACAAGTTTTCCAGTGCGTTGGACGAGGCAAAGAAAGGGAACCAGAAGCAGCGACTGGGCTTGGTCTTTCATGGTACACCCACAGACAACATTGCTTCCATTCTCCAAGACGGATTGGATGAGAATCGCCGGATGGGACAGCACTACGGACCAGGTGAATACTTTGCGAGACTCCCTGGACATGCCGAGCACTACACGCGAGGAGGCTTGGAAATTATGGTCTTTGTCGTCATACTGCCTCCTGTCAAGACACCGGAAGAAGAGGAGGAAGAAGATGGAAAGAAGAGGAGGAAATGTCCCAGCGACTACGTGGTTATAGAAAACAACAATCATCACATTGCCATTGGAACCCTCCAGTTTCAAAGTGCCAAAGCCGTGGTTTCGAGACCCTCTTTGAGTCGAGGGTACCACAAAAGGCGCTGTGCAGGACTGAACAAACAGATTGAACAAACAGAGCCAGGAAGAAAACGAGAACGATGCTGCAAGGGAACCATCATTCAAGAACTTTTGATTGATTCTCCCGTTGTCGCCGCCACACTCTACAAGAAGTGGAGGGGTATGTTGGGTGTACAATCGCTGCGAGAAATTGCGTGGTATGTGAATGTGACCAAACAATTGCCTTGCTTTCCAAATCTTCCAGATCCAATGGGACTCGAGGAAGCGATGAATCGCCGTCAACGAACGTTGAGTGCGGCTGCCGAACCAAACCCAGAGCAATTGGAGCATTTACGGTGTCCGCCTGGTATCCTCCACACTCCGCCTAACTCTCAGCCCCAACCCATTGCCACGTACATCACAAGCGCCGGTCAACGAGCTTTTCGGGTTTCTTCCTCCCATGGCATTGCCTAACAAGGCACCCCCAAAAGCAAGATCTATAGCGGATGTGGTTCCAACGGTCGATTCGTTATTCCCGAAGCAGGGAAGTGTGCAGTACCACTAATAAACTTGGTTTGACTTTACAACAGCACCAATACTATAGCAAAGCAATATTATTGTAGGGTAATCCTTTTAGAAACAACGCAATACCGTAGAAGATGGGTTTCGGTGCACGTCCATATCGAGGAGCCAATCGCATTATTTGTGTGAGGGGTGTCATCGTGGAAAATATGAAACTTTGCACACCAATCGACTCATGCACAGAGTTAACTGGGGCCGTACGGCGTTTACTGCTTGAAATAGTTTCCTGTTGGGACCCAAGTTGCGTTGCCATGATCAGCCATGGACTGGCTAGAGCTCCCACCCCGGAAAAGCCGCGGCCTCTGGTTTTGTCAAGTCAAGAAGGAAGCACAAAACCCCGGCTGAGCCTTCCATGAGGCTTTGAGGCGAGTTGGGTGTTCCGACCACCTTTCGCTGTTTGTCCGGCTGTTGTGACACGGCACTCTGCACCTGTTGGTTAGCGAGCAATTTTGCAAATGCCTTTGCCTTTTGGAGATGAACCCTGTCACCAGTGAGCTGATACAGCGAAAGGAAGGCGTACCCATTCCCAGCAATTCCATGGCACAAGCCATTCCCTTTGAGCAGCACCCCGTATCTCCAAATGTGTTCCCCGGCCTGCAGCGCTGCCAAACGCAACATATCATTGTGCTCAACATCCGCTGCAATTGCGACCTTCAAAAGGGCCGGAAGGCCAGGACTGCCGTGGCACCAGTGAACAAGTTTATCCGTCGTTGACCCCACTATATGCGGTAGATTGCCGCTGGGGAAGCGACTCTGGAGGAGCCGCGCCAACGTTTTTCGTACCAGTTGTCGACTTTCCACGTCCAGCAGACCCCAACAAAGATATAACATTTTGAGGACACCCACCAGTCCATGCGCGGCGCCCAAGTGTAGACTCTCTTGGAAACTATACATGAGGGGCCACCCGTCACGTTCATGGCCATGGCGGCGACTCTGCTTCCGACCTGAATCAATGAGGGCTCGTGCGACGCGTTGAAGCACTCCATTCAGACCACGGGGATGAATTGGGTTGAAGCACTTGGACTCTTCTTTCTCGAGCCAAGATTGGACGAAAAGTAGTGAATAGATGTATCCCGCCTTTCCAAACAAAAGCTCATCTACTTCCCCATTGTGGATGGCACAATCTTCAAATTGCAGCAGTTGCTTCCAAAGCATGCACGCCAACGTTTTCTCTCCCAACAGAGATGCTGCCACACAGGCAATGGCAAAGCACCCCGGTGCGCCAATGTAAAAGGACACGGAAATACCCCAATGGCGACTTTGGAATTTATCGTCTTCCAGGCTTGTCACTGCCAAGTCTCGAGCACGCCGTAGATAGTGGAGGTAATCACTACGAGTACTGTCGCGTCCAGAACATTGTCGAGCAAGCCGCAAATACGCATAGGCAATACCACCGAGGCCAGTGTAGACCGACTTGTTTGTCATTTGCTGATTGTCACTGCTGGTTAGGAATCGGTTTTGATAGCAATCGTCTAGTTCGGCAAGGATTGGTTCGGCTAGTTCGTTTGCCTCTTGAGCGGAAAATGTGAGGGAGATGTAATCTTGCTCGTAAGGATTTGGCAAATAGCGTTGTCCCTCCGGTACTGGGAGCAGCCTGCATCTCGGACAATCAGTTTTGTTGGTTGGCGTGTCAATAATATTAGGAAGAGCAGAGAAGAGGGCTTGTTGTGATGGAGATGTAGCTGACATCCTTCTTGGTGGGTCTGTAGCAATACTTTTTGGAGTTCCTTGTGCCCTAAAGAGCTGTATAATTGCATCAATCTCTTGATAGTTATGCTGTGTCAGGAGAAACTTGAATATCTTTGCTTTATCCTCTACGGCAGTGGATTCCGAATTGAGACAGGATGTTTTCTTTTTAGAAAAGTGGTCCGGTCCAGTGACATGTGTCTTGTGTGGTATCAGACCTAAGGACTTGGCAAAGATCAATTCACAAAGACACCTGATGAGAGTTAATACATTGTGTGTATGTACGCATGAACACCCAACAACCTTGGTGAGTAGGAATCTAGCATCACAGCTAGCATTGCACATGTTTTTCTGAACAAGCTTACCAGATGCGTTGGTAGATATCTGTTCTTCTATTCCTGACCACCACAAACTGCGTGGCTTGTGCCAAAGCCTTGACAAAGGGCGATTCTTCCAGTGACTTATCTCTGCTACCAACTTGTTGTTCCACCAATCCAGCATCTCCCTGCACTAGGGCAAACGCACAGATCCATAGATTGGGCTTGACCACGGATGTTTGAAAAACGGCTTTGATGGATTGTACAAACTCTGCAAAGTTGCCATCCCATGCATGTGTGATGAATGCTCCCACCTTGAGACCCTGGGGATTCAGACTGAGGGCATACGAAGCTCCAGTTCTGCGACAGACGGGTTCAATAATCTCACGGTTGACGTCCCTCATGGTCATGCGGGAATACATCGATTCACCAAATTGTTGGCAGGCTACCAAGTCAATCTCTATCAGGGCATCATACGAGATGGACCACATGCTGGGGCATAAAGGAGTGGTGAAGGAACCATCTGCACCAACATTACTGCCATTATTGACTCCTGATGATGCCGCCATCTTGCAGCTTGCTTGTACCGCTGTCGCCTTTTGAGAAGGCATGATGGTGTTCGGTTCCGTTTTGGCGGCCAATAATGCCGGCAAGGCTGACAAAGCGTTGGTGTGAGAAAGAGTCGTGTTCTCGAAGTTTTCCACGATGAGATCCCACTGCAACTCCCCACCCTGAACACCGGCATGACAAGGATTATCCGTCATTTCTAAAGCAAAGCACAACGTTCGTGCTGCCATACGGATTTGTGTGAGTGGCTGACCATGGCAAGAGGACAAACAACGACGAGATGTTCATAACTTCAGAAGCACCATGCCTCGCCCACCACCTTCCACTGTTGGTGCAAGCGCCTTGCAACTAGCCAAATCCATTTTGCTATCGTCTTCCAGCAATCAAGATCGAAACAAGGGCTTACGAGAGCTCACCCAGATTCTGACAACGACCAATCCTCCCCTCTTCACTCCTCGCGTCCCAACGCCCTATGTGGCAACTTTGGAGCAACAGCAGCGCTTACAGACAATCCAAGCTAGAGCTGCCACCATTCTCCCAGATTTACTTGTTCTTGACCAGTCGGAGGAAGATCTTCAGAAGAAGCAAGAAAACACACAGTCGAATCAGACGTACGGAACAACCCCCGCAGAAACCATTTTCACGCTTTTAAATGTTCTCTATCCGCATGGATCGTCCGACCCACAAGGTTCCTTTATAGATGCGGGAAGTGGTCAGGGCATTCCCGCCCTGGCAGCCGCTCTATCCAACAAATTTCACTTGGCACGAGGGATTGAATACGAACCAAAATGGCATTGTCATGCCATGGCCCTTCAAAAGGCTTATCAAGAAAACACAACAGAACTTCAACTACCTAAAGCTTGTCCATTAGACTATCGTTGTGGCGACATGACCATTCCAGCTAGCTTTGAGGGAGCCAGCTTTGTCTTTTCCAACTGCGTTCTATTTGATGCCGAGTTGTGTCAGAGTGTCAGTCACCGACTGGAAGAGGATCTGGCTACTAAGGATGATGTCTTTGTGGTTACCATGAGTCGCCGATTGGCCTTGCCGTCCTTTGATCTTGTGGATGTACTCAGTCTCAATGCCAACGAAGGATTATTCACGTTTTACTTGAATCAAAAGGCCAACATTGGTACCTCCTTATTTCACGCCACATCCGATTCGGAAACTATGCGCTTGCTCAGAGAATCCAATGACACAGACGAACACGAGCCTCCTTATTGTTGGGAGGAACTGATAGAGTTCGCCTTATTGGAGTCTGATCCCAAAGTCGGAATGCCCTTTCTAATCGCCATTGCAGCTTCGGAACCATCCACTCGAACCCTCGGACAGCATGTCGCATTATGGAATACTCTGCAAATGTCCATGGATGGTAATCTCCCAACCAAGGCACTTGGTTCCATGCTTCTTCGAGCCATGGTGGACCATCCAACTGGACGGAGATCCGTAACCATGAACGCGGACCTGTGCGGTCGTATCATTGCCATGATTGGAGACGACACGGAACATCCTGCTGTACGAACCAATCTATTGGATGTGGTGAGTAATCTGTTGCACGATGCGCCTTTGAGCCAGTTCTCGGACGAATTGGATGGCGCTCTTGGAGGACGAGGTTCGGGTGATGATGATGATGAGGATGAGGCGGGCAATAGTATCAACGAAGCATTGGAGGAATGCTTGACTATGCGGCGATGGTGGGAAGGGCATCAGCGCGGAATCCCCGGAATAAGAAACTGAGAAAGAAGCCGTGGGCAAGGATTGGGGGCAAGCGCCGTCCGGCTGCACATGAGTCTATATGATTGTGCTAGCTTTATTCGTGTAGTTGGTGCACGTTGTTGGCGGCCGCGTTATGGTCTATAATATTACTCCCACTCAACAACGCAACCCTGTTCCAACACCTCGTCATCGTGACCCACGCCTTCACTCTGAAGGAAAATGCCAAAGTTGATATTGGCACCCTCCCGTCGGTATTCGGCCAAAGCTTGCAGAGTCTTTCCCTTTGTTCCCGTGGTTGGGTCGACATCTACCATGGCACAACGAGCACAGAGGCCTGCATTGAGTAGCTTGGTACCACTTTGTACAATCGTGACGGAAGTCCAAGTATCTTCTGGATGAGAAAAGCTTTTGCTGTTCGAACTGTCACTGCTGTCAATATCCACCACCAAATTCGGTCGAAAGTGTTTGGCGGTTACGGTTGGTTGACCTTGATGGCGGAGAACTGCGTTCAGCTTTGCCACTGCCAGCTTGGACAAGAGAAGGATGGGTTTCTCGTTGGAGAAGGCACGCGAGTTGTTGTTAGGTTCGCCCGCATCTTTCGTTTCTCTCCGTTTCTTGCACACCCCATCATTGCTCGTTGAGTATCTTGCCAGCCAGCACTGCACACCAAGGTATCCTGAAAACCATTCCGACGCGGCCATGCCACCCCAAAGCTCGCCAGAACACTTGTTGCCACAGACGCTGACAAGGCTCTTCATGTCGTCGTCGTCATCATCATTAGAGCAACGCTCTGCCTTGTCCAGCCGAACGACGAGATCTTCCATCCCGGGTGCCGACACTGTCAGTGTCTTTTCGCGTGGATCAATACAAGGCCGGATGGTTCCCATTTTGGGAAACCTCTGAAGACGCATGGCCGTGCCAAACGAATCCACCAGAGCAAATTCCCTATCATACTGGAGTCGACCAGATGGTGATGTAAGAGTCCAACGGTCCACTTGCTGGGCAGCACAGCTTTTGATGGGATAAATGTACATTTCCGAAATGAAGGCTCTTGCGGTTGATGTTGCCGTCGTGTCGGTACAGGCATCCGAGTGCTTCTTTTCGGTCCGTGTCTTGGCATCATTATCATTCGAGTCCGAAACTACAAAGTGCTTCTGAATGAACATGACGAGTGCATCCATGTCTTCCCACAAACTATCCTTTCCAAAACTCGCACGAATGGCCCCACTTGGCTTGCCATTAATGACATCCTTTTCATCGCCACAAACGTGGCCCGCCGTTTGATAATTGTCGATAATTTCGTCATTGGTCAAGCCCAGGGCATCCTGACAAGCCCCGGGATTGCAAAAGCATCCCGTCCGAAGTTGCAGCGGAGGATTGTAAAGACCGGCCAACTTGGAGACTTCTGTGTATCCCACAATGGATCCATCACTCCGACAAATGTTAAAGGCCACGACGGGTCCCGGCTTATTGTTTTGTTGTGGCTGTTGGTGTCCCCATGCTCCATAGAGGACCACGGCGGGTCGTCCATTGTTGGCATGCGATAATGCTTGGACTCGTTGACAAAACTCGTGTGCGAGAATGTGCGTGTGTTGTTGAATCTGATGCATTCCCCCCAGTCGATGATTCAGATCGTGCAATCCATGAGACAGTGCCACAATGCCTCGGAAATGACTGGTTCCGTGGGTCAGACCGGCATTGCTTTTGCGGACGGCAAAATCGGCATTACTCACGACCACGTCGACCGATCCACCACCAAAGTAGTGATGCTTGTTGTTGTTGTGATTGTTGTGGAGCAGCACGTTCTTTGATTGTTGTCGTCGTACAAAGAGCGCTCCGAGTCCGGTGGGAGCCCCAAAGAGTTTGTAAAAGGAGACACAGGCAAAATCGGGATCGAGTTGTTGCAGATTGATGGGACCTGTACTGGCGGCCTTGGCCAAATCGAGCATGACAGACCAACCTGTTTGTTGTTGTCGGAATCGTTGTACCAAAGTGGCACAATCCGGACGATCTCCACCGAAATTGCACTCGGCGGGGACCAGGAGCAGATTGTGCGCCTCTGGCTGATTCGTTGTACTAGTCGATGGCTGTGAATGCCGTATAGCTTGTGTTTGCCACTGCTTTAGCGTGTCGACCAAATGATTGTCATCATCATCTCGAGCCAGTTGGGTAATGTCCGAGAGATGTTTGCAGACAAAGCCGGCGCCTTTGTCCAGTACAGGCCCCCGCATTCCAATGACGGAAGTATGTGCATTGTGTGGATATAGGAATGTGCTGTGACTGGTCCATGGAAAGTGTTCTGCCACAATGCGGAGTGCCTCGGTGGTTCCAGATGTAAAGATTATGTCATATCCGGGATGATAGAGATTTGATGGATTTGATGGTTCTTGGTTGGAAGGTGGTGATTGCAGGGTTGCAAACCGTCCTGGATGACCGTGAAAGTGATCGAGTATTTCCTTCTTGACCTGTTCGATGAGTCGCAATGTACGAGACGCGGCTGGTCCTCCCGAGTGTGGATTGGCGAGAATGGCAGCCGTTTGGCTTATTTGTTGAGTGTAAATGTTGTGTAGGAGGGACTGAGATGGCAGAGAAGATCCTGCATGATCCAAATAGACTTCCTTATCCTTATTATTGGTATGGAGTGACTGCTGTACATCTGAATGTAGTTGTAGTTGTAGGGGATGGATCAAAGCAGGAAACTCCTTGTGTCTCCAGTGGTCAATGAATCCAGCTGGGGAATTGGGGTATCCATAGTCATCTCCCACTTTCTCAAGGAAGTCTTGTTTTCTCTGCACTGATGCATGTACAATGTCATGTAGTTGCTCATCTTGAATACCGTTACTAATAAGCTGCTTTTGCTTCTTCTTCTTCTTCTTCTTGAGATTGTTGCTTCTCTTAACGTTGAGATTGTGAAGCGATAACACTGCCAATCTTAGTAAGATACCCACCACAACTATAGATAGTAGCAGTACAGGTAGATCGCTTGGATTCAGATTCAGACTCACCAACCAGTGCCTAACATCCCCAGTATACCAGTACATAGCTGTACTAGTAGTCTCTGCCATGGTATCATTGGATATGCAGGTGGTACTGGTGGCAGTATTACTGCTAGTACCGATAGTTGAAGGGTAGCTGATACCCATTCTCACTTGGAGTTTTTTTCTGGAAAGAAAGCTACCGTATGATACTAGATAGAATAATAGTAACAGTTACTGATCAACAGCCTGCTGAGATTATGCCATGAAGAATGGAGAGTGTGGATCTCGATCATACATGTAGATCAGATAGATCAGATAGATGTATCAACGAGCTATCAATGACATCTTGCTGTGGCTTTCTTCGCTCAGTGATCCGAGATGTTTCGTTGACGCTTCTTCTCGGATCATGGGATCTTTGGAGGTTCAATTTTAATCTTATCCTTATCAAACGATCTTCGAGCTTCCAAAATCCACGTCTGAAAAAAATCCAAATTTGCCGTTGCACTTTTCTGAGAATTCCTCAAACCTCACAACAGCAAGCAAACAGCTCTATTTAGTATTTATTTTCTTTTAGCAAACAACCTCCATGGAACCTCTGAGCATCCTTTCCAAGCATTATGGCCATGAGGAGGAGGAACGCAACAACCTGCTGTCTACTACTACTAGTATTAATATCCCTTCCATAAGAACTCATTGCAGTTCTGCCTACAGATGGTGTCGCAGCAGAGTTTCCTGGCAAACCATGCTGGAAGCAGTAGTGCTGTGGACGGCTCTCATTCTCTTGCTTGTCAAGATTACCTATCATACCCCACAACCACCCGAAACGGTGCAACTCTTTGGGACCAACTATACCGTGGCAAATACGACCTACATTGTACAAACCAGTCAAGGGCTTCGAGGTAGCATTGCTACTGAAATTGGATTCTTGACGGCATTGACTCGGTTGAAAATTTCCCAAAACCAACTTTCTCAAAGCATCCCCTCCGAAATTGGATTGCTCACAAAATTAATAACGTTCAGTGCCGCCAGCAACCACTTGTCTGGCCATATTCCTTCTGAAATTGGACTCCTCACCCGGTTGGAAGGGTTGTACTTGGACCAAAACCAACTTTCTAGCAGTGTTCCTACCCAAATTTTGGAATCCCTCACGTACCTAACCTCCTTGGCGTTGGACCACAATCAACTGTCCGGCAGTATTGCCACAGAAATTGGATTACTGCCCTCTCAAACTTGGTTGAGTCTATCCCACAACCATTTCTCCAATAGCGTTCCATCGGAAATAGGATTGCTCACATTTTTGCAGGGATACTTGGACTTGTCACACAACCAATTGTCACACAGTATTCCTGGCGAAATTGGACAATTGACCCAGTTGGAGACGTTGAAATTAGACAACAACCAATTGACCGGCAACGTGCCCAAAGAACTGGGATGGTTGATGGGATTGAACGATTTGAGGTTGCAACGCAACCAATTGTCCGGTCAAGTGCCCACGACACTTTGTCGCTCTGGAGTCAAGATTGTGCAAGTCAATGGGCCTCCCGATCCATTTCCCGTCGAATGTACCTGCCAATCCTGTGTATTTGGTGGCCAATAACTACCGCATAGCTATAGAGGCGATGGACGATCGAGTTTTGGATCTTTTTGTGTTTCTACTTGTATGCATGCGTCCAGTCAGAAGAAGGGTATTCTGATATTATTATGAATTCAATAGTCGGATGTCACAGCAAGTTGTCATAGCTAACTATAGCTGTGTTTGTGCATTTCCTCGCTCTTGGTGCTCCAGGCTCAGCCCCCTCGATGTGTGTGTCGATCTGACTGTCACTCGACTCATGCCTGTCCCGATTCCAGTTCTATCTATCGTAAGAGGTCACAAATAGATCATTGCGCAGAAACGAGCTTGATTACCCAAGTTCCTTTGCGGGGCCTGCGTCGTCAAAAATCGTCCATCTTCTAGCTATAGCTAGCCTCATGTAGCATTGGACGACACTGCCGAAAACGATAACTCTTCCGACGTTTTGGCTCCCGTTACTTGCTCGGGAGATCGCAAGGGACTGGGATTGTATTGGTAATCCAAGGTGTCGTCCAATGTCGACAGGTCGCCCACGTCGTCTCCTTCCTCGATATTCGAACTGACATCCGAATAGTTGGCTTGAGAGTCGCCTTCTTGCAACGAGTACAATTCTCGACAGGCAACCTTGTAGTCATAGGGGAGACTGGGATTGGCCGTAGTATCATCCAGAGACGTATCGGCTGCGGGGGTGTTTTCGGGCAATGGGTCACCCAAGGTACTCACTTCTTCGTCCACCCGCAGTTCAATTTCCGGTCTCCGGGTGGGATCCATTGGCGTGGCGGCGTGGCTCATGCTTTCCACCGAGAAAAAGTCCAGTCCAGCCACTGCGTCTAGGCGTGTTGTGGATCCTTGACCGCGCTGACGCTTGTCGCGAGCATAAAAGAGCAACGCCGCCAGAGTAATGCCCGAAATGGCTCCCACGACAGCCCCCACCACAACCCCAATGTGGATTCCTTCATCATCATCACCGTCATCCTTGTTCTCCGGATCGCGTGGTATTTCTTGCTCTTCCATCGATGCCGCAGGAATGACCACAATGGCGGTACTGCTGTCCAACTCGGAGCGAATGGATGTCAAAGCAGCAAAATTGGGATCGCCACTGGATTTCAATTCGTCGATAAAGACTTGTTGGTCCTCTGCCGAATCAAAGGCAGCACCCACGTAGCGCCGCGTATCCAGTTCGTCCACAATGGTATGCACCGCAAAATTCACATCGTACTCAATCGTCAGGATCCCTGGTGTCCCTGCTTGCCGTGCCTTGGGAACAGCTTGCGTGTTTTGGGAGCGAACTTCCACTTGCACGTCGACCGAACCAACTTGATCACTGCCCAACACCCGAATCGCTTCGTTGGTAATGGCGCTCTCCGTGGCATTTTTCCAAATCTCCAGACTATCCGCTGGTAAGAACGCTGGCACGACTTCCAACACCATAACAGCGAGCTTCAATTCCGCTTGACGAAGTGGAAAGGTCGAGGCTACACTTGGTGACGACGTGGCTGGGGCACTACCGCTTGGACCACCAAATGACGGTGCCATTGTTGACGGACTCTGTAAATTCTCATTGTTGGGTTGTGCCGACGGGGACGGCAGTCCCGCTGTTCCAGGCAAGGAAACGGACGATGGAATTTGCATCACGCCCAGCGAGGGCTCAGAAGAAGGTATTACGGAGGGGACTGAGCTGGGACGGATCGATGGAAGCAAGCTGGGATGGGTCGATGGAATCACGCTTGGTGCAGCAGATGGAACGAAGCTTGGTGCAGCAGACGGACCCATGGATGGAGAGGCTGTAGGGCGTCGGGAAGGCTGCAAGGATGGTCTTGCTGTAGGAGCCAATGTTGGTTTGTGGGTGGGGTTGCGGGTCAACGTGTCACTCCGAATACAATAATCCGTAAAGGAAGACGTGTCCACACCGGAACATCCCGGTGGTGCCGGATCCCCAAAATCTCGTTGAAAGCAAACCAGCCCATCTTGACAATCTTCCGAGCCGTTGCAATCTCCTTGGCACTGACCAAGCAATGGTGTTGGTGCTGGTGATGGACGTCTGGTTGTCGGTGCAACTGTAGGGGATGGCGTGGGCGCCTTTGTATTAGTGGGCATGGGAGTTGGTTGTCGAGTAGGATTTGACGTGGGTCGATTTGTGGGTCTGGCAGTGACAGGTCTACTCGTGATGAACGAAGTTTGGACCACTGTGGGGTCTGGTGTGGGCCTGTTTGTGGGTCTCATAGTCGTTGGTTGTTGTGTTGGCACGGGTGTTGGCCTGGCTGTAGTGGGCAGTGCTGTGGTTGGCCGTGTCGTGGGAACAGGAGTTGGAACGCGAGAGGGTCTTTGCGTTGGTCGGTTAGTCGGTGCAGGAGTTGGTTGCAGAGTTGGTCGTTCCGTTGGAGTTTGAGTTGTTGGACTAGGCGTTGTGGGGAAAGGAACTGGCATCCGCGTTGGAGATTCTGTTGGAGGTTTAGTTGGATGCATGGTAGGAGGCTCTGTTGGTTGCCTAGTGGGATCGGGCGAAGGCCTAAGAGTTGGAGAAGGAGATGGTCTGTTTGACGGAGGCGGTGTGGGCATTGCAGTGGGTCTATTTGTTGGCATTGGAGTTGGGTTTATTGTTGGTTGTTGAGTAGTGGGTCCTGGGGTTGGCCGATTAGTAGGATAAGGCGAAGGTCTAGAGTTGGACGGGTATAGGAGGCTCTGTTGGTTGCCGCGTGGGACTTGGAGTTGGGTTTATTGTTGGTTGTTGGGTAGTGGGTCCTGGGGTTGGCCAATTAGTGGGATAAGGTGAAGGTCTAAGTGTAGGGGGCTCTGTTGGTTGCCGTGTGGGACCAGGTGTCGGCCAAAAAGTTGGCCAAAAAGTAGGACCTGGTGTTGGATCTAATGACGGCATTACAGAGGGATCAGGAGACGGTCTTGGCGTTGGTCGATTGGAAGTTGGTTGGATCGTCGTTGGCCGCTCTGTTATTGGAGCACGGGAGGGTTCTTGGGACGGTGCTTGCGAAACAGAAGGCCCCATGGAGGGCGCCGCACTAGGAAAGGATGTTTGTTGAATGGTCAATGACGTGAGAGGAATCTGTTGATCTGCAAAGTATTGATTCATGAGTACTACAAAGGAAATGCGCATGGTGGGCATGGGGAGTAGACCTTGTACGGGTTCCGTTTGTTTGGAGAAGACCGAGTACCCCACCCGTTCAATAGAAATGGCGGCCTCGGCTGCATTGTCATTGTCGTTCTGTTGTTGCAAGTTTCGCTGTTGTGTTCGATCCACATCGACTGTAATGTGGTGAATATGGGCTGTTTGACAAGATCCTTCGTCCGGTGCAATTCTATCATAAGTGTTTAGAAAGGCATCAATAAGCACGTCATCCGATACGGCAGATGTGTCGAAAGCTTCCAAAAAGACTTGATAGTACTCGAGTACATTCGTGCGATTGGCAATGCAGGGAGTGGGAGCTGCTGTCGTGGGTGTATTGGTGGGATTGATTGTCGTTGGCATTCTCGTAGGACTATTTGTGGGTGCTCTATAGATAGTGGGAAGAAAGGTTGGAGTGGCGGTGGTGGCTGGTATGGTTGGTGTTTGAGAAGGTTGATTGGATGGAGCCATGGATGGAATGCCTGTACCTTTTGTGGGAGTGTACGATGGATGTGACGAGGGAATGTCGGATTCTTGGTCGGATGGCGCTTGAGAAGGCAAAAGGGAAGGCCGATTGGAAGTTTGTGGTGTTGGGAGAATGGATGGCTGATCTGAAGGGTAACTAGATGGCTGCATATATACAGATGGCTGAATAGATGGCATGACGGATGGAACAGCTGACTGAATAGCATTGGTTGGGCTCTGAGTGCTAGTGTTGTTTGTGTATATGGAAGGTGGATTGGACGGTTGATGTGACAAAGAAGGCATGCTGCTGGGTGAGTTTGACAGACTGGGTTGATGGGAGAGTGACGGTAGTAGACTTGGCTGTTGGGAAAGAGATGGCTGAAATGACAGAGATGGTTGCGAAGAAGGAGTTGAAGACGGTACCCTACTACTGGCAGCAAGCACAGACGGTCGGGGGTTGCCAGTGACCGTTCCAGGTAACGACGAGTCTGGCGATTGTCGGCTGAAAAAGAACAAACTTCGATGTTCTTGATCTAGCTGCTGTTGCTGTGAATCATCCTTCAGGCTTGACAAAGAAACGAATGCCACTACTAGTAGGGAAACAACCATCAAGGCAGTTGCCAAGGACATTCTGATTGTCAGTTGCCATTCACTACCTCTGTTGTCTCTAGACTTGTGGTACAGCTGCTGATGCCGAGAAGGGATCCTCATCTTTCTTTCATGCATACAATCAACTCTGTCTCTTCTTTTAGTTTTCTTGGAAAGAGGGTGGGATTTTCAGGTAACTATTCTACTGTATTGTTCCTCTTGTGACAGACAGAAACATGGACAATGGCACCTCGCGGCTCTGCGATCTAAAGTTGGCTGCAGCGCCGCCTTCCAAGTCCAAGCAAAAAATGTGGCATCTCATTCTCTCTACTTAACACGCCTGCAAGACGTTCTACGATTATTAACGAGAGCGTGCCATTCATTCGTGCATTCTAAAGAAGGTTCCGGATCCAAAGAACGTGACTGCTCCCCGGGACTTTCGACGATAGAAACCCCGGTGCCGCGCTCACTACCGATAGAAATGGCTTGCAATGATGGCTCAAGATACAAGGAGAGAGCTGCTGGGATTGTGCCAGCCATGGACCTCGGAGTACAATACCAATATTGATTATTGCATTGTTCCTGGCTAGTTACGCGAGCTGGCTACGTGTTGTTTGTATGGAAGCTGGCAGTGATCCAAGCTTTTAGTTAGTAGAAGAGAAGGCGTGGGAGTGGTTATTATTACGCCCTTTGGCCATGGTGGTGTGGATAAAACTGGAACCGGATATCTTGGCAATTTGCCGAGGACTGAGTCTTACAAGTAGCTACCAGTCAGTCCGCCCAGCAACGAATCTCAAGAATGAAGGTGACTACAGGTCCAGTCTGTCTTACCAGTACTTGGAAGCTGGTGTGGAGGCTCTCAAGGCACACGGCTCTCTGATAGGTGGAAATTCCACTACGGCTTGACTTTGGATGGCTGCATGCCTACTGTATACTTAGCTACTTGGCCGCTGAACTTTTGCAATTTTGTGGGAGAGCAGCACATGGAAGGACGGCGAGCTATGCATGTGAAAGAACGCGCGAAAGCACGGAAAAGTCTCCCCTGGAAGCGATCGTCGCAATTGGCTGGTGCTGACGAGAAGCATCGGATGTCAACATCGCCATGTGCAGCCATGGTTTCGCTTTGCAGTTGACTGCTGCAATCCTTTCTGACTTGGGAAGAGCCACTGCAGAGGGTTGGTAGGTAAGATCCTCCAATGATCGAGCGCTGAAGCTCTGTTTGAGAATCCGTAGCCGAGCATTGGGGACTGGCTCGCTGCCGTGGGAATGGATCTCCAGAGGAACCAACTCCTGAATTCAGACGGCCATTCCAAGTGGGGGGTCAAGCAACATCAACAGTAGCTCCGCGGAAAGACCTCCATCTTGCTTGCGCAGGACAGGAAGATGGGCGAAGTATCTGTACGGCTAGCTACATTCCTTATTCTGGGTGTTACTAGACATAAGTAGCACTTTAGTTTTGATCATTACATGTATGTATTCTCTTCTTGGAATATGCGAAGTAGCAAGCAATGCACGGCTCTCTTCTGCGCATCTGGTACTGCACTAGCTATACGTAGCTAGCTTGTTTCGAGCGTCGGCGGGCAGAAGAGGCTTCCCTGGTATCGTATGAGGCTTCACTCAATTGTTGGTTCTACTGGTTCGGGTGCGAAAGATCCTCTGTCGATTCTTGCGAAGCGTCTCCGCGTTGAGGATGATATTGGAGCGTCGTGGCCCACAACAAGTTATAGTTGTTGCTGTTGTCAAAAAAGTCGTCATTATTAGTAGTGAATCTCAGAGCGTTGTTCACTTCGCGATGGACTTGGTGGGGCGGCCTTGGCACCGCAGCATCTTTGCTTGCGGGCAGCACACCAAAGATAAAAGGTAGCATTTGTGTCAGAGGAATCGGAGGAGGCTGCATCGTCGCCCTCAGGTCTCCATTATGACTGCTGGCCATCACCTTGGTCGTGGGGTATGTCGAGTGGTTTGTCATGGTGCCGTCTTGGAACGCGGACTTGGAATGAATAACTTTGAGCTAGTGTGATGGACGAGGGTGCTTCGTGAAA